TTTGGTACATTTTAGTACTTTTCGTACCCTTCTAGTTCGAATTTCCAAAAACCCAGCCTTATCTCACGCCTACACACCAACACCAACCCACACTCAAAATTTCAAGCTTCTAGCTTTAGCCGTTTCGTCTGGGCGATGATCTGTCAGTCAGTCACTCAGTCACTCACTCACTCACTTAACACTAAGCTCTTTTATATATATAGATGAGCTCAACAATGTTTACATCCTCGCCCTTACACACATTAACACACCAAGAAATCCGCCATTTGTTATTGTTAATTTAAATAAACTATTGTTGCTATACAAATTACAAGATAATTACATACATACACCAAACACACAAACTATTCAATAATAAAAAAAACAACAACAAACACAGTTATTTTTGACATTATTACTATTGACATTCTATTGCAAATATTTAACAAATAAGCATAACAATTTATTCAATTAGCATAATTTAAAAACAAACAAAAACTCTAGAGCTATTAAATATTAAAAAAATAATAGAAAAAAACTTAAAAAATCCCTGTGTAATTACAATTATTTAATGGTCCATTAAGAACCCCTCAACTAGTTTTCACTGTTATATCTATTTTTATTTAAGCTATAATAATTATGTTATTATCATGAGAATTATTAACACTATTGTTTAGTTATAATTAGACAAATTGTTTTTTTTTAATTTAAATCTAAATGAAAGATAAAAAAATCTATTATAACTGCAATTATAGACAACAAATTCATGAAATAGATAACCCGAAAAAATTACATATTTATTGCTGAATATCGTAATTATTATATATTATATACATACACCCCCATTATTATTATCATTGTTAATTAGTAAAAATATCATAATGTAAATTTTTATTTAAAAAAAAAATCGAAATCAACATTAATTACCTATCTTGACAGCAACACATATATTATGTATCTTAATTTATATTTATATATGGCATATATATTTAGAAAAGCAATGATTATCGTGCATTGTACGTATATATACAAAAACAAAGAACCCATTTACTTAAACCTTATATTATGAAAAGACCTACATACATTTTCAATAAAATTTAAAGAAAAAACATTAACCTAGAATATTTTTTATTTAAATATTGAAACGAAGTGGTAAGTATAATTTATGAAAAGTATAATAAAAGTATAAGTATAATTTTTGTACTCAAAATTCATTAAATCGTTAGGGATTTTAAAATGGGAACTTTGTTATTCTAAATTATGATATGACAAAAATGTTCCTCATAGAAATATAGGTTTTATATTATTATTATATTTATTATATTATATTATTTTTTTGGACCAAATACGTTTCGTTTGAAGTTAATTTACAATTGTCCGTTTTATTTCATAGACCTCAGCAAAGCATGGGCTGAAGGTATATAACTTTCGGTACTGACTGCGTGGGTTTTTCTATAGAATTGGATTCCACTGACCGACTTTACAAGGTCGAACTGTACAAGGTCAGACTTCATTGAACCCAAACAAATGTTGACGACCCAAGTACTGATGAGACTCCCGTCGTTAAGATGAATGAATATTGGGTACCAGTAACAGCAAGGCAAGTCAACGCTAAGGAGATCGCTGCCAAGAAGATGTATCGGAGAGCGGGATAGCGACTCCATCCCGGAAAAGGAGTTCCTTTTGATCAAGAGGGACCTCAATTTCATCCGGAAGTTCTCCAGGAACTATCCGAATGATATTGCGAGGGACTTCTTGATTGAAAGGATTCCTAGACCTGGTAAGAAGACCACCACGGTAGTCCCTTCAAAGAAGGAGAAAACTGAACAACCCCATCCATGGGGAACTCCCTCGCTACGAACTTAGACTGGTTATCTCTGGCGCCTGCACGTTTAATTTATTATCTCAGGTTTCATACACAGGACGGAGTTGAAACGTTCTGCACAATTTACTTGTCCAGGTCACAATATTACATTGGTTTAGCCACCTGCTTTTTTTAATTGCATACTAGCCTGTTGATATCAATAGTAAATTATCTCACTGTCGGAGGTCCTAGTACCCTCCAAGGGTAAACTGAGTACTGAGACGTCTCTGACATGGTATCCAAGAAGACGGAGGGTAAGAGACTGTCGAAGTCAGCCCGAAGGAGAGCCCGTAAAAAGGCCTCCAAGAAGGCTGATAAGGCACAACCTCTCTCTGGTAATCCACCTTTTGCCGAATTGGTGGATTATATCCAAGGTTGTGATAATTGGGCAGTTGTTGATGGATGCGCCAAGGGTAGCGAGCGCGAAGCAGGTGCCTGCGTCGGCTGGGCCTAACTCTGTGATCCTGGGGGCCGAATCTCCGCCACAGCCTACAGCTGTGAAGAGAATGAAGTCCTCGGAGGAACAACAACCAGCTGCCAAGAGACCCACGCAGTCGTCAGCTGCACAAAGTTCTGCTTCGTTTGCGTCGGTAGTAGTGTCGAAGGAAAAATCTGCTAAGAGCGGTGAGGGTGTGGTGAAAACCAAAGGCTAAATAGGGTAAAAGAAAAATCTATTACAAAATTTGGCGTTGTCGTAAATTTTACATAATATCGACCAAAAACGACCACGACAACGCATTCGACTACGCCTACGAGAGCTGCCGTACAACGACTACGCCTACCGTAATATGGGTGTATGTTCCAAGATATTGTATTTCACAAGCTCTACAAGAGCTGCCTCATCTGCTTGCGCAAGTACCCATGCTTCAGATCATACAAAAGCACGGATAGTACTAGCGTCTTGCAGAGTGTGAGTTTGATTTGCCGAGTGGCAGCCTTTTTCTTGAATTGCTTACTCAGGCGATAGTAGCATCTGTTGGTCAACACTATTCCTCAAGCCAAATTGTATTATTCAGCTGGTACATGCTTCTGGCCAGCATCTGACCACAGGTCTTGAATAGTTCGGCTAGTAATACACCGGCTCCTGCAGCTTAATTGTTCTTCAGCCGATTAATTGCTATTCTGGCCTGGTTCTGGGGCATCCACTTCACCGTTACTGTTTGTCACCAGAAACTTTGAAAAATGTTCCTTCCAGATCCTCAGCACGCTGTTTGTATCTGTCACCAGGATGTGCCTGCACCAAAGCCTTCGGTGTGGTGTTTTACTCGTTGGTAAAATTGTCGAACATTATTCTGACTCCTATACATCTCGATTTGCTCACGCCCACGTTTTTCTTTTTCTTTCTTTTGATAATATGTTTCTCCTCCCTCCTTTGCTCCCGATAACTTAGTAGCATTACGACACTCCTTATCATACCATGCGTTTCTTAATGCTGCTCTTTTGCAGCCAATTGTTGCTTTTGCTGCAGTCTGTAGATAGTGAGCAATTCTTTGCCATTGTCAAACACGTGGGTTAGTTGATCGGAGTAGGCTTTTGCTACCTGTTGTGTATGCAGCTTTTCGACGTCAAGTTTTCGAGTTGTGTTAGATCACACCTTTGCTGCTACATTAAGTGCGAACCTTGACTGCTACAATATTTTCCCTTCCGATTTTTGCATAAATCTGTTTTAATGGTCTGTTCATCTTTGTCTTATATCTATGGTCTGTTCATCATTGTCTTCCGTCAGAGCATGGGCACAAATAAAACGGATTATAGCAATTCGCTCATCTACTGGAGTGAATCTGAATACAAGGTCTTTTATTCTCCTGTTAATCATAAATAAATCCGCAGCCAAATAAATGTCTCGTTTTATGACAGCTATAATATCATCTCACTATTTCAACGGATGATGGTAGTATCTCCCCAGGAGACTAAGATAAGCCTGGGCGTTGCCACGTTAAAGCCAATTAGAGCCGTTGCTTGGTATCTATAAGGGGTTGAGATATTTCGAAAATCCAACGATTATTTAAAACTTCAAGAGTTTTCTTTCGATATAAATTTTGTTGGTCTATGCAAATTGCGTAGAAGGATCTTCAATCCCTACGGTATTTGTAAAAATGTCAGTAAGGTGGAGGTTGAACAACCCCATCCATGGGGAACTCCCTCGCTACGAACTTAGACTGGTTGTCTCTGGCGCCTGCACGTTTAATTGATTATCTCAGGTTTCATACACAGGCCGGAGTTGAAACGTTCTCCACGTTGTCCAGGTCACAATATTACATTGCTTTAGCCACCTGTTTTTTTAATCGCATACTTGCCTGTTGATAGTAAATTATCTCACCCTTCATTGTTCAGGTGTTGCACAACGAAGCTCACGCCACCCACGTTCACTGACCAATACTATTGCCGCTTTTATTTTTGATAGTACAATGGAGATTTCACATGTAGCGTCGGGTAATCTCTCAAGTACTATAAAAACGTAAAATTATAAAATTACTTATAGTAATCAAGGGTAATAAAATGAATTTAATGTGCTTTGCTATAAAGATAATTATTAGAAATTAAAATTTTACAAAAACTTTAACATTTGTGAAGTCATCATCAATGGCTATGGGGTTGGTTCTGAAGGAAATTGTGTTATTAAAATGATATTGGGCCAAAAAAGACTGGAAGGATTTAGAGGAACATCTTATCTCAAAAGCAACTTGGTGTCCAATTTTTCTAATTTATTATTTACTTGATTTTTAGTTATCGACTATTGTTAAAAGTTGCAGAATTGGGAAGTCGATTTCTAGTCCCTCACTTAAAAAAACTCATATAAAATATTAATTTCTTACATTTTATTAAATAACAATTAGATTATTGGAATAATGATAATTGGTCGATGGGTGGGTAAGTGTGTTTAGATTTTTTTTACATTTTTTTGCTAATATAAATACTAATTGTTAATAGTAATTTCTAGTAAAGCCATATTTAATAATACATAAAATTTTCGCATAAAATTTTGGTAAGATTTCCCTTTTGATGTTTTTTTTTTAATTTTTTTTTCTACAATAGTGTTAGAAATTTTCAACAAACTACCTTTTTTGTTTACCGTTAAAAATAAAAACAAAACATTTAGTCCCCGAGTTGGTAGTTAGTATTGAGTTAGTTAAGTTTTGGAATATAAGGCGGCTTCGTTAAATCAAAACGAATTTATAGTGGCCAAATATGCTTGAAAGTCGCTCGGCGTCTCTGTGTGTAAAAACTCAATGCTATCCATACAATCGGGTGGTATGAAAATAATCGAACCAGTTTTTAATACTAAATTGGAATGTCCTTTAAGTTGTAAAATTCGAGAACCGCTTAAAACTAATAATATTCCCGGATGTTGTGGTAATTTTAATGAATATGTAGATGATTGGGTTTCTGGCAAGAGGATATTGACAACGGCAAAATCTTCGACAGGTGGGGCAAATATTTTTGTATATTCATCGAGGATTTTTGCTTTAAATAGACGTGTCTCAGCTGCCGAACCTGTGTAATTTAACGAAGTCAACAGCTGTTGAACATCTTTGTATTTGGGGGTGAGACCGGCACGTATAACATTATCGGAACAGGCCATACATTCAATACAATCTCCGGATAAATAGGCATGTATTTCATTGGCACCCAAATAGATGGATTCTCCAGGTTGCAGATGAATCAGATTGACAAAGAACAACGATAGAACACCAACATCATCGGGAAAGTCAGCGTTAATGGTTTTGAAAATATCATGTAAATGATATTTTTCAAGGACTGAAAAAACAAGAGGATTGAAATAAATTGTAAACAAAAAAAGGATATTATTTTGTTATAAACTCACTGGTCATATAATTGTTTGCAATGTCATCAATACATTGGGCAATTGCCGATGGATCGGCCGTCATTAGGGCCTGATAGCATTTTTTCAAATCACTATGCTTGCCATTGCGTAAATTCTCAATGATGTTATCTCCCCCAAGTAGCTTCTTTAGGGCTGGTAGTTCTTGACAAAATTGATAGATTTCTTCATAGGGTCGAAAACCACACAAGGCTGTGAATGGAGTCAAAGCTATGGCCAGTTCGGGTTTGTGATTTGGATCTTTATAGATATCCGGTCGCTCTCTGTGCAAATGTTTGGCTTCATCCTGAAAAAAACAACAAATAAAATAATTAGATATTTTAAATTAATGTAAAAAAATTAGAATCAAAATGCTTATCACTATGAAAACAGGGCTTTGTTCGATTTAAAATCATAACGAATTTCGATAAAAATCCCTCCATGGCGTCTGTGTAATGTAGAAAATTATTCTCGTGCCAAAGTTTGTACAATTTATTTATCATATCAATAGTGTGTCTACGTTGACAATGTCCCATTGTGTATGTGATTTTTAAAATCTCTTTTGATTGATATCAAGTGAATTGTTCGATAATTGTTATTGGTATTTTATCATTAATGTTTTATCAATTCTCAAATTAAAAAAAAACAAAAATATTGATATTCCATCGTTAAACAGAAGATAACTTGTGTACATTCCCTGAACGAACCGAATAACTAAACCCTCCACCATAATACCTTTCCACTTTACACGCTAATTCTAATGAGAGTCATTTTTGATATATCAAGCACTTGATTTCTCTATTAGCTACAAGCTGTGTTTCTATTTCCAGCATTCTTTTTTTCTAAACTGCTAAACAGCAGTCAAGTTTATGTATTCTCTTTTGTATCCTGCCTCCTTTGTGTCAAAATTGAGGAAGGTTGCAACCCGCGTCCACAGGGAATTCAGAGACAGAAAACAGAGAATTAAGGTGGTTGCACAATCCTGATCTTAGCTGAGCTAAGACTACTCGTGTATGAATGTTTTTCATACCTCTCTGATAGGCCTGTTGATTAGGAAGGATTACGCTTATACCTTTGGACCTCTCTCTCTCTCTCTCTAAATCATAAAGATCTCTCCTGACCTGCTAGAATAGGGGAAAGTCTGTCTATAAAGCCATGGTAGTCTTCTTCATAACATTTACACCCAAGACTGTGTTGTATCAACTAAAGGTTAAGCCGATGCAATTGTGAATAATCTTCGACTCATGATGATGATGATGTCCAATGTTGAAGTTCTCATGGAGGCATTCTGGCAGGTCTGAATATTCTTCCCATGCGTATTAGATATATTTGCAAATTCTGCAGCTCTCCTCTGGGTTATCACTGTTAACAGTCTTTTAAGGACCATAACTGAGGATGAATTTGAACCAGTCTGATATGGATTTGAACCATTCTGTTTTGAGCGGAAATAATCCTAACTTGATATGTAGAAAGACCTTAACGTGAATCCGGAATCTTTTCACTAGAAATTCAAAAATAGAACAGTTTGAAGAACCCATACTTTGAGTCAAATATCTAGGAGTCAGCTTAGAAGGGAAACTTAAAAGGAAATATGGCATACATCAACGGGTTGGCCAAGCCCATAGATGGTGGTCTTTATGCAGAAGATCCGTAGACTCTAAATGGGGTTTTAATCCGAAGAAGATACACTGGATCTATAAGATAGTTATTAGACAAATTCTAACATACGCTTTGGTAGTCTGGTGGACAGCAACAGACAAATGTAATGTCTGCTTTCCTCACAGAAAGTCCCTAGATCATTCTGCCTTTGTGGGGAAATGGGGACAACACCAACTAGGGCATTGGATATTATATTGTAAATATATCCAATTGACATTCAAATAAAATATGAAGCGGCCGTAGCTTTAAAGCTATGGACGAGTGTATCGACACGGGACACAATAGGCCGCACCAAAATATAGTACCGAATACCTGAAGTGGGTGTGGACACCTCAGGGGGAAATATCACACATGTGATACTATTACACAAATGTCTCCCGGCTAGCAGAATAGTCGGGAATGTTACTTTTTTTATTGAAGAAAACCGAAAATTTACTCCGCCTGCCAGATCATAATATGATCCCACAGGAGGAAGTTCAAGCTATAATGAAGTGTCTATACTGATTTAGTTTAAACACCGGTCAGATGAGGAATAGTAAACAATCCATTAAATCAAATATCTTCCAAAAAAGTTAACTCTTCTCGCCAGAAATACCAACCTGACTATCCGATCTATTTTTTATAAGGTTCAAAAGGTCTTCTTTTTAGCGGGTCATGTGCTGCCGGTTAACGACTTCAGAGTAAGTTGAAATTAGGTATCCATGAGGATTCCCGACTTAGAAATACATATGTTATGGATGCATTTCAGGTGCTGTTCTGGTTTAACCCGGTTGGAAGGACTACAGCGAATGGAATTACGTTGCTCTGTGCTGCTATAACGCAATTCCCAGCGGGTCTTTCTTTTGCATCCAGTAGTGTAAGAATAGATTTACATAACCTAGCGAAAGAAGCCAATCGATCAGGTCTCAATAGTATTCAAAATAATGCCGTTACTAATACCATAAATGAATATTGTGTTATTATCGCAGCTACATAGGGAAGTTTTGGCTCAACAACATTTACGCTGAAGCAAGCGATTCGATTTGTAGTGTGCGCGGTTTAATGACAATGTGCAGATAGCCTGCCCAGTTGACTCTTGTATTACAACCAGTGCTGCCGGTTAACGACTTCAGAGTAAGTTGAAATTAGGTATCCATGAGGATTCCCGACTTAGAAATACATATGTTATGGATGCATTTCAGGTGCTGTTCGGGTTTAACCCGTTTGGAAGGACTACAGCGAATGGAATTACGTTGCTCTGTGCTGCTATAACGCAATTCCCAGCGGGTCTTTCTTTTGCATCCAGTAGTGTAAGAATAGATTTACATAACCTAGCGAAAGAAGCCAATCGATCAGGTCTCAATAGTATTCAAAATAATGCCGTTACTAATACCATAAATGAATATTGTGTTATTATCGCAGCTACATAGGGAAGTTTTGGCTCAACAACATTTACGCTGAAGCAAGCGATTCGATTTGTAGTGTGCGCGGTTTAATGACAATGTGCAGATAGCCTGCCCAGTTGACTCTTGTATTACAACCAGTGTTAAGTCTTTATCGTCTTAAGGTTTTGTCGAAGTGGTGGTCAAACGTTGTTTTTTTTAATTGGTTGTATAGTAATTTTTGTATATTATTCAGTTCGACCATTAGATATCCTCTATTAATATCGAAATAATTTATAATTTATTATCCTCAAAACGCTAGTCCATTGCTTATTTGCCATTTGTACGTTGGGAGGATACATAAAATTATTTTTATTGACTTTTCACACGAAACGATGTCCCAATCTCAATTGAAATTTGGACACCAGATCCGCTTATCATCTGCCACAAAAACAATCGAAGTGAGTGTTTTGTTATTTATGGATCTGTAAAAAAATTGTCGTACCCATACAGGACATCGGGTGGGAGGGCAGAGGTTGGCCATATCCTCTTTACCCGAAACCAACAAAAGTTCAAAACTTTGCTTCATATACCCCGTCTTCGGATTCAACGTAGGCTTGATAAGATATTACAATTTGTAAACAATTCGATTTGCTTCAAATGTACAGTATACATATTTTTTAAATGTCGACCCTTTGTGAGAGAGGTACCAGAATAGCTACCATCTTTGAAGTAAATCAAGGTTTGGTAAAAATATTACTATTTGCAATATTTGGATCAAATCGGTCATTTCAATAGCTTGATATTGAATTACTACATTTTTACCAACCGGCCATAAAAACGGGCGGGCGGCATTTGTAAATTGACTTTGGTAAAAAATTGGGAAAATTTATGGGAAACGATTTACAAAATTTTTGAAAAACGATTTATAGCAAAATTTATACACGCTATTCGGTACGTCGCAAAATTTAAAATTTAATTTCAATCAGACACCCGCTCGAAATACATATGGAAGCTATAGCTGCATCTGCACGAAACCGAACGAAAATACATATGGGAGCTATATTTAAATCTGATTTTCACGAATTTTAACACTCATCATTCTAGACTCAATTCATTACACTGTGTCAAATTTCGTGCAAATCGAAGGATATAAAGGGACTTTGGTAAACTATTTACCTAAAATCGGGCGAAACTATATATGGAAGATATATCGAAATCTGAACCGATTTTTCCGAAACATACCACACATCATTCTAGACTCAATTCATTACACCATGCCAAATTTCGTGCAAATCGAAGGATATATAGGGACTTTGGTGCACTATTTACCAAAAATCGGACGAAAATATATATGTAAGCTATATCTAAAAATCGGACGAAAATAATTATGGAAGCTATATCTAAATCTGAACCGATTTTTCCCAATTTCAATAGGGCTTGTCCTTAGGCCAAATAAATGAGCTGTGCCAAATTTTATCCAATTCGAATAAAAAATGCGACCTGTGACTTGTTTACAATTTAACATGGACAGACGGACGGACGGACATGTATAAATCGACTTAAAAAGTGATGCTATGCATATTCTCGAAAGGAACCATGTTTCTATCTCGTTTCCTTTTGCCTGTTACAAAAATATGCACAAAGACATAATACCTTGTACCACAGTGTGGTGAATGATATAAATAGGATGGATCGAATTTCCATCTGCGAAGGCTTGGCCAAACAGAATGAGATAGACCTATTTCTTAAACGGATAGTGACTTGGGATGTGAAATGGATCACATACGATAACCCTGTGCGAAAATGAAGCACCTCAAACAGTGGCAAAACCAGGACTAACGGCCATGAAGGTTCAGCTATGAATTTGGTGGTGAGTTGCTTCCATATGGCCAAACGCTAAATTATGATCTCTACTGTCAAGAAGTGGACCGTTTGAAGATAGCAATTGAACGGAAACGACCAGAATTGGCCAACAGGAGAGGTGTAGTGTTCCACCAGGACAACGCTAGGCCATACACATCTGCATTGACTCGCCAGAAACTTCGGGAACTTGGTTGGGAAGTTTTAATGCATCCGCCATACAGTCCGGACTTGGCAGCAAGCGATTATCATATTTTTCTTGCTTTGCAAAATTTCTTTAATGATAAAAAATTGGTATCTAGGGAGGATTGTAAAAATCGACTACTAGAGTTTTTTTGCAAATAGATAGCAGGACTTCAATGAGAGGCATTATGAAGTTACCTTTAAAATGGCAACAAAATAATACAAGAAAACGGTGCACATGTGGCACAAATCGGACATTCCGAAGCAAATAAAGACCTATAGTTCATATAAAAATAATGAATTTCTTTTTCCCCAACCTAATATTTTCATAATCCGGATTATAGAGTCAAATAGAAATAAACAATCCGGCTTATTACCGACCAATCCGGATTATGAAGATTTTACTGCATGTATATTAAAAATATTAAACATAACGAACCTGTTGATTGAGTTATTCTTGTTTTCAACAGGAAATAAATTATTTTTTCCAAATCTTCTATACAATTTTTTTTAAAAATCTCTTGTATAACAACTTTGCCTTATACTATCATGCGGTAGTTATACACTTAATCCATTCCAAAAATGTAATGGTATCCTTCAATTACAATAGTCCGACAATTTTCTATTTAAATGTTTAATACTCAAATACATTCCTACTTAATTTGCTTAGACATTTGGATGAGCATTCGACAACACGTAATAGATAATATTCTGAAAACCTAGCCATGAAACAAGTTAATAGACATCTAAATTGTATTACAACAGGGGACGCGACGCACAGTAGTGACACTTTGAATTGTGTAATTTGTTTTCTATTTGCATTTGTCGTCGATATCTTTGCTAAATATATACAAACAGATAAACAACCGACAAGGAAAACAAAAATGATAAATGACGAATAATTAAATACAAATTTAATAAAATGAAATACATTCCATTACGGTGCTTTGTTATTTGTTTTCTTGCTTACCTTATTCGGGTGCACCTGTATACTTAAAGCTTTGCGTATACTCAACACTTTCAGGAGATAGGGCAAAGGTTGTTCATACACCTGACCCAATTCGGTGCCCGTTGACTTGAGCAGCGATGGACCACTGCAATGGGTACCCATCCACAGTTCGGCATAGGGGGCTTCCTCATTAATTGTAAAATTATCATTGTTGGCTTTGGCCAATTTTGCCACTTGTGATTGTTGTCCCAGCTTGCCCCATTCGTAGTTTTTGATATTGCCCACAAGTTCCATGATTATGTTATTATATTATATTGCACTTTATGTTAATTGTTTCCTTCCGTTGTCGCCGCCACCGGTGACAAAACACTTTCTCGGTTACAGGTTTCTCTCGGACTAGAAGATGACACGACCACCAGACAAACGAAACATCAACTAACCAACCAGCCAGTTAAAACAAAAACCAAACCCACCAAACAGCCTTTCGTGTCGATGTTTAATTCTCTACTGTCCGTCTATTCAGTTTTGTTTTGAATTTTTGTTTGCCACGCAATTTTCAACATTTATTCCAATCACTTGCGCAGGGTCATGCAATGAAGGTCGTTGTCAATTTGCTTTCCTTTTAGTAGAATTCTCCACTGCGACCGCCACCACCACCGCCGCCCTTATCTGTGGGTTCCGTTCCTTCGAAATAATCACGTATTGTCTGTCTGTATGCCGACTTGCCTGACTGACTGATTGTTGGATACGTAAATGTAATTTTGTCGTTCGCTATTTGTTTAATCTTATCGCCCAGCAATTTAGAGTTTTATTGGTTGGACTTCTTGTTCCCTGCAAGCCGTTACCCACTAATTGTCGAAGACAAGATTTCTGTAGAACTTTATCATGGTTTTGTTTGTGTTGTTTGTGTTGTTATTACTATTTTTCGTTCTTATCAACAATTTCTCCTCAGTTGCAATTATTTGTTTGTAAATTCTAATTATTTTTGAGAGAGGGAGAGAAAGAGAGAGTTGCTGTGTTGTGACAGCTGGTTGTGTATAACAACACAGCTGTTTTGTTTACATTTTGCACAACAGTTGTTTTACGGTGTTGCCACACTGTGAGCGTATTTTGTTGATAGCAATGCAGTGTTGTATTTAAGCCTAACTGTCGTTTGATGTTAAATTTTAAAATTGTGGGGAATTAAAAATCGACATTGAAATACAAATTAGAAAATTTAAATATAGCTGCCAGTGTGCTAACTTCCCAAAGAGGGTCACAGCTGTTAATTGTCTTCTCCTTAGTACGACAATTAACAACATTGACCCCATTGTATTAGGAAGTCTGGCCAAACCGTAGGTTCCGTCGATCAACTTCAAATAACTGTCGACTAGCAACCATTTATCTTCGCTGATGATCCCGTCGCAGAGCTTTGTGCAGCTGACGACTGCGTGGGTCTCTTGGCAGCAGGTTTTTATTCCTCCGAGGACCTCATTCTCTTGAGATGCTGTGGCTGAGATTTGGTACCCGGTGTTACAACCGCCGCAGAGATAGGCCCAGCCGACGCAGGCACCTGCTTCGCGCTCGCTACCTTTGGAGCATCAACTAACAACTGCACATTTGTCACAGCCTTGGATAGCGGCTATGGCAATTCGACAGGGGGTGGCTTGACAGAGAGTGGTTGTGTCTTTTCGGCCTTCTTGGAGGACTTTTAGGGACTCTCCTTCGGGCCAACATCGATAGACCCCTACCTTCCGTCTTTGTGGATGCTGGTGTCCGGAACGTTTCAGTACTCAGTTTATCCTTGGGGGATACTGAAGGCTTAGAAGTCTCAGGCACCAGTTTCCTAGGTGTACTTGGACCTCCGATAGGTTTCTCCTTCTTTGAAGGGACTACCGTAGTGGTCTTCGTACTGGGTCGGAGATCCTTACAATCAAGAAGTACCTCGCAATATCATTCGTATAGTTCCTGGAGAACTCCTAATGAATTTGAGGTTCCTATTGATCAAAAGGAACTCCTTTCCCGTGATGGAGTCGCTCTCCCGTGCGATGAATTGTTTGCAGTAGTTACCGCTCTTCGGTACATCTTCTTGACAGCGATCTCCTTGGCATCGACTTGCATAGCAGTTACTGGTACTGGTGATTCATCCATCTTAACGACGGGAGTCTCATCAGTACCAGTATCCGCTTCGTTTCACACGGGTACATTCACATTCACAAGCCTGTTTTGCTATCTAAAATGGGATATTAAAAAGAGTATTAAATATAACATTTTTCGAGGCCGTAGAGTCTTTAATAGAGTTGTGTCGTTCCGGAATGAACTAGTTCAAAGGGACTCTTCCTCAAAAGGGACGATTGGTACTATATCCGGTTCTTTCGTTCATCTAGTTCCTTATGTTCCAATCGTTCATGTAGATCTTCCCGTCCATTGACCGAGTGGTCAACTCTGCTGAAGGATGACCCGCTAACGCTGTGTTGGTATGCGATCTCTTCCCCACCATCCTACAGAAAACAATGACGTATGGAACCAGTAATCTTAAATAAAAAACCCTTAAAAATAAAGTAAAATATTCCGGAAAATATGGGACGACGCCACCGAGACGAAAAAGGAAGACCATGCTGACACCATAGTCATTAGAGTCCCATCTTCAAGTTATAAGGGGTAGTCAGATTTGAAACGGAAGGATGCGAACCCTTCGAGTGCAATGACCGATGAGCCAAGACTTCCAAGACAATAAACCACCGAAGACTAAACAGTAAAGAATGGAAAGTTAGATGAAAGGGAAAGTTTTTACAGGAACATCGGCAAATTCAGCGGAACCTGCTCTGACATAAGCCAAAACTTCCATGAAATATAATGGGAAGACTACCACCGGAAAAGCCAAAGCCGAACTAATGCAAGTCTTCGCAGGAACCTTCGAAGCGAACTGCAAAAAGGTAACGAGACGAAAAATGGTGACATATAGCCAAAAAGTAGCCATCATTGACAAGACTGATCCCTATGGGGGGAACAGTACGAGTCATTGGTTGCTATTTGATAGGCATATGAACACCATTTTCCTAAGTATCGAGGTTGACCATCGAAGATTACAGTTTGACAGAATTACCCTTTAGAAGGAGTCCAAAGTTATAAACTGTGAAAATAAGGAGTCTCCTGACGATCTTCTTAGGACAGTGAATGAATTTGAACCCCTTTGGGAGGGTAGCAATCTTGCGCCTGTCCTCCTCCTCTTTTGGAATTGAAACACATGCAAAAGCAGAACACCGGTTTTCGAATTAGCAACTGGCGAAAGCTCAATGCATTCAATGAGAAAGACGGATATCTGGTCATCAAATGCGCCACTGACAAATCAGCGGGGAAATTTTTTGCGGCAATTTTCCAGTGAAGGGCTGCAATTAGGAAGGTTAATGTTTATATAGGTCCTTATTTTGAGATATGTATGAAGGTCACGCCCGGGGAAATTTTTTGCGGCAATTTTCCACTGAAGGGCTGCAATTAGGAAGGTTAATGTTTATATAGGTCCTTATTTTGAGATATGTATGAAGGTCACCTAGGATCATCACGTCAATAGACGTGATGATTCTAGGTTCTATGAGGATGGTAAATAATGTTCACGCACTATTTCAACTATTTTTTTGGTCCCAGAACAAATTTTATATACATGCAGTAAAATCTTCATAATCTGGATTATTCGGCAATAAGCCGGATTGTTTGTTTCTATTTGACTATATAATCCGGATTATGAAAATATTAGTTTGGGGAAAAAGGAACTATAGGAATTTATTTAACATGCTTCGGAATGTCCGATTTGGGCCAAATATGCACCGTTTTGTTGTATGATTTGTTGCCATTTTAAACATCTCTCATAGAAGTCCTGCTCTCTATTTGCAAAAATTCTAGTAGTCGATTTTTACAATAAATTTTTTAATGCATCCGACATTAAAACTTTTCAACCAAGCTCTCGAAGATTCTGGCGAGTCACTGTAAATGTGTGCGGCCAAGCGTTGTCCTGTTGGAACACGACATCTCTCCTGTTGGCCAATTCTGGCAGTTTGTGGTCAATTTCTATCTTCAAACGATCCAGTTGTTGACAGTAGAGATCAGAATTTAACGTTTGGCCATATGGAAGCAACTCATAATAAATAATCCCCTTTCTGTCCCACCAAATGGGAGCTATACCTGAACCTGAACCGATTTCAACAAAAATTGGGCATACATTAATAATGACCTACTTCAGTACTCTGTACAAAATTTTGTCCAAATCGGGCCAATATTAGCAGTATGGTGCTCCATTTGCATAAAATCGGACTAAACTATATATGGGAGCTATATCTAAATCTGAACCGATTTCAACAAAACTTGACACATATCAATCTGGACCTACTTCAGTACTCCGTGCAAAATTTTGTCTCAATCGGACCAATATTGGGAGTTTGGTACATCATTTACATATAATCGGATGAAACTATATATGGGAGCTATATCTAAATCTGAACCGATTTCAACAAAACTTGGCACATATCAATCTAGTTTTAATTCAGTAATCTGTGTAAAATTTTGTCTCAATCGGACCAATATTGGCAGTATGGTATATAGTCCATTTTCATAAAATCGGACGAAACTATATACGGGAGCTATATCTAAATCTGAACCGATTTCCTCCAATTTCAATAGGGTTCGTCCTTGGGCGAAGTAAGTGACATGTGCCAAATTTCATCCAAATCGGATAATAAATGCCACCTGTACTTTGTTCGCAAAAATATATGTACGGACGGACGGATGGACATGCATAAATAGACTAAGAAAGTGATTCTAGTGATTAAAAAAAGTAAAAAAAAAATATTTTTTAAAAATTCATGCCTATCTTTGGTCCCTAAAAAATTATTTTGAAAAAAACACGCCTATATTTGACTATTATTTTGGGTAAGTCCATTGCCGTGACAATTCACGTCGAATATTCTTGCATATTCTAGAACATGTTGCCTAGAAGTACATTCTTGTACCCATCTACTTCCCAAATATAACTCCCAGTATCGCTACCACTTAATATTCTCCGAATCTCTCTTAATTAATTATTCTCTTTCTCTCTTATTAATAAGTATTCTCTTGATTTTCAAAGTACTCTCACTTTTGATTCCATTATTTTTACTTAAGGGGATCACACCATTCTCGGTGTCAAAATTTTTTTGATTTAATTCGAATCTACACTAATTCAAGAATGTCCCTACAGAATTTCAAGTGAAAATCTCAAGAGCTCTTGAAGATATAGTCGATTTATTGTATCAGCATCAAGTGACGGCTAAAGGGCTTCTCAAACATTAAAC